ATAACGATATAATCTTTCTGCGTTGAGCGTATCCATTTCGAATGGCGTTGAAGACTGACAAGATATTCATCTCGCCATCGATTCCAGAAGTGTTGTCTAATCGGCACAATGCTTTGCCAACGTTGATATATGGTTCCCTTGAAGACTTCAACGTCAGAATCTTGAAGTCCCTTTAGCGATTCGCCAATCATGAAGTGTCCTGGCGTAAGAACTTCGAAGTCGTTTATATTTGTTCAGTTCAGTTAGTACTGTTGCAAATTCTTCGTAAGTTAGAAGCGAAGTGCCTAAGGCGCGCTTAAGATGATATAGACCAGCGTAATCGACTGCGCTATGTAAAAAACAGTGGGCTGAAGTGACGCGGCTTGGAGGTAGCTCAGCCATGAGCTGCTGTAATGGTTGGCAACTCACTCGTCTGCAACGAATGCATTTTCGATATATACCACGGACGAGGTTACGAACGCCTGTTACCCAATATCGTCGTTGAAGCGCGGCTTGCATTATCTGAGATCCACCATGTAATGTTAAAAGATGTATTTCTACCGCGATTAATTTAGCAAGCGGTGATTTTTTCGGCACTACTATAGGATGTTTAACAAAGTCCGATAGCGTTACGTTTTGGATGCGGCCTCCTACACGTAAGATACCCTTTGAGTCTAGAAACGGTTGCAGTCGTGCTAGACTGCTTCGTATACTTTACCAATGCTATTTCAGCGTTCTGATTTTCAGCGCAGGATAAAATGCCGGATTTTGGTATCCCGGCACTAGACCGTGCATTATTGATGAAGCGTAATAAATAAGCTGTAATGCGTTTAAGTTTGTTGAATGAATGGTACTTCGTCAATAAATCCCAATCGTAACGGTTTCCGTCAGTAGTCTTATAGCTTTGCTAGATTTTAGTTCGAGATCTGTTGCATGCGGTTCTACAGAGATCGGCCAACTACTGTTGTTTTCATGTATCCATTGGGGACCATGCCACCAAAGTTGATGTGTGAGCAGTTGCGATTTTAATATGCCCCTTGAAGCGCAATCAGCTGGATTGTGCTAGGAGGCGACGTGTCTCCAGTGCATTGTCGGGAGAACATTTAGCGATTGTCCACGAATACTGACCAGCGGCTAGGGTTGCCTTGCAACCACGCCATTGTAATCATTGAGTCCGTCCATGCGTATAATTTTGAGAAGGTATAGTTCAGATTTGATTGGACTTGCTTCACTAGCTTTGCTCCCAAATGAGCTGCACAAAGCTCGCGTCGTGGTAACGAGATAGTTTTCAGAGGCGCTACTCTTGTTTTCGCTGCTACTAGTACGACCCTAATCGTACCTTCCGGAGACTGCGAACGACAATAAAGTGCGGCTGCATATGCGACTTCTTCGCAATTTCTGAAAGAACTGGTTCATCCCAATCCACGTTTGAGCGCCAAGGTTTTTGTAACCAAATTTTAGAACGAATCGTACAAAGCGCAATTAAACCCAGTGGATCGAATACCTTGCTCGAATCGGAAAGAAACGTTTGTTACTTTGTTAGTTTGTTAGGCAAGTCGTCGAAATTCACTGCTATAGAAAGCCAATCATGGTTTGTGTGCCATACTGTACCAAGAGTGCGGATTTGGTCTCCATCGGCTAAGAAATGTGAAATTTGTTTAGATGCGTGCAGTATCTGGCCTCTAAGCCTTTGAGAATTGGTTCCCCATTTGCATAGTTCGAACCCGCTTGCAGAGAGTGCCCGGGAAACATTTTTTTTTTAAGTAAAGCAAGTAGATTAAAGGTATCAGCAACAGTTAGTATGTTATCCATATAAAAGTCTGACTTTATAACTTCTATAACCTTTTTGCTTGCGTATAACGCGTTAAGTGCTGCTCGATGCAGTGACCTTACGGCAAAATGCGATGCTGAAGCAACTTCATACGTGACCCTTAAAAGGCGATAATCACGTACTGGATCTGCTGGATGAGAACGCCAAATTATGCGTTGATAATCGGTCTCCTCTTTGGTGACATAAACCTGGCGGTACATCTTTTCGATGTCAGCTATGTTTCCAAAACGATGAGTGCGAAAACAAACCAAAATAGAAAATAGATCTTGCTGAAGTTGTGGGCCTATCATGAGAGCGTCATTTAACGAATTCCCAGATGTTTACTTAATAGATGCATTGAAAACTACTCGCAGTTTCGTGGTTTGACTAGTGGTCTTTACAACCGCATGCAGGGCATGTATTAAACTTTATCTATTGTCATCTCTACTGGTTCCATGTGTCCCATAGAGATGAGTTCCTCCATAAACATGGTGTACTCTTTGTGAAGTCGTTTGTTAGTCGCAAATACTTTTTCCATGCGAAATAATGCTCGAATAGCTGCTCCTCTTGATTCACCTATCAAGACGTTTTTCTTCAATGGTAAGCGCACGATATAGCGCCCATTCGATGCCCGTTCGGTTGTATCGTCGTATAGTGTCTCACACATAGATTCTTCAGGTAAAAGGAATTTGCGGGCAGGTAACTCTTCGAATCCCCAAAACTTGTAGATGAGTTCAATTAAATGAATGTCGGATGTAATTTTAAAATGTTCACCGATGGACTTTGCAAATTGGCAGCGTGGCCAAACAGTACCCATCCGAATACGGTGTTTTGTGCCATCGGTCACGCCGTTTACCCTTTCGAAGTCCGTGTAGTAGAAATTTGTCCCTCTCATCCATTCCAATTAAATTGGTTCGGGCTTGGAATAATGCCAATCGGCTAGTGGCCATGAAGACGTCGGTAAAGCGGAAGTTGGAAGATCGTTAGTAATTTTCGGTAAGATGAGCATATTTACTTTAAATTTAGCATCAAGCGTTCGAGGTGATATGAGAAGTGTTACTGCCCACTTTTGCATGACCTCCTTATAGTGACCCAATCCCAGTGACATGAATGGGTAGGCGAAGCCGTTGGGCACACGCCTGGGTGACGAAAGGAGTGCGCGAGCGGGCTGCCAACGACCGGTATAATCTTGTACCATAATTTCAGCGGTGGCAATTTTTACACGTGCCTAACTTCTTAATAGCGGTTAGTTTACCCTTGGAGTCGAGTTGACTGAACTTTCAGCAAACGTAGATTTTATACTCACCGTTGCAATAAGCACAATTCGGTCCCTTAGTAACCGTTGATATAGCGTTATGTACTTCTGGTTGTGCAAATTTTTGTCCATCTGACAAATTCACATTCGTATGAATAAGAGAACAGAAGGCGTTATGAAAAGGAAGCCATTGAGTGGAATCACCACTAAATGGCGGCAACTGCAGTTTTGGAAGTGGTACAGGAGCTGGTGAATCTTGAACGGTAGTTTGCAATGTCTGCTGCCTTTGAATTACGCACAGACGTTTCAGATTAGCTTTAACGGTGCTGTACCACTCCTCACCTTGTATGCGTACCTGCTCCTCCAAGGAAATGTTCTCGTCCCCACATGTCAGCTCCACCTCTTGTTGGGCTACGCAAAAGCGTATTACTTTTCCAACAATTGGAGGTAAGTCCTTATAACCTCGGTATCTACCGACAGAGCATCCACTTTGCTAGATTGCAAATAGCGTTTAATAGCATTTAACGCGAAATTTAACAAAAGACATGTTTAATGTTAAAAATGCGAAAATATATTGAAAATAAAAGCGGGTATACGGAATATCATTAAAATGTGATATTATCCGGCTCGAAAGACCAAAATATGTTGATGTATAATAACGCACGCAGTTTGATGCGGAAGATTAAAGTGGATTATTGCGGATTAAAATTAAACACGACCTGTCTGTTCGAAATCCTTTTTTGAAGAGAGCGAAAAAACGGAAGCTAGTTTGACAGCAAGCACATAAGTGCTGCCCAACAAGCTTTAAATATATGTTTACAAAGGTGATGCCCCTTTTTCCCCCAAAGTGGACAAGCGCATTAAAGCAGGAGCTATAGTCTCATCGCAACTAACAAATATGCATCAAAACTATCATATAAATAGCAAGCATTGGCAAAAGGTTTCACACCTAAAGCTAGCAAATCCCAACTGCAACACCCTCACTCAAATAGATTTTTGGTGTAAAACTTGGATGATGGGCGTGGCACCGCCCACATTTATGTGAAAACCCATATCTCGGGACCTAATACACCGATTTTAACCAAATTTGGTACATACGATTATTTTCATATTATATATAACATATTACATGTTACAGTGCCAAAAACGCACTACAACCACGCCTACTTCTCATATAACACAACTTTAAATTCCATCGGAATTTTTCACTTTTCAGTTTACAAATAAAGAACAAATCATTGTATCCAAATAAAACTTTGCACGAATAGTGCCTTTAAAGTCTGCCACCTTATGACCAAAAACTGTCCACATGGGACTAAAACTATTCAAGCCCCCAGATACCGAATGTGTGGACCATAGTTCCTATTTTCCTACTTTTTATCAAAAATATCGGTCAATCTGTGAGATATATATTATAAAAATTCGGAGAGAATTATTTTCTGATAATTGTATGGTTGTATGTCAGAAATGGTCGGCATTTATGTGAGTTATATTAATATAATTGAGAGAGCGTGTTTTTCTAATAACGGTGCATCTTTATGCCTTAAACAGATAAAATCGGGTAAAAACTTACCCTATATCCCATATATCGAATATCAGTATTTTCAATACATATGTACATGGTACATACACATATTGGTGATGGTATATGAGGTACCTTAATAAATTTCAAAGAGTATGTTTTTCAGTTAATAGCATATAGTAATGCCAAAAAATAAAATCGGGTCAATAATTTCCTTATCTCCCATGGCTTTATACCGTATATGCTCCTCCATATTGGTTTTAGGTAAGATATCTTAGCCAAATTTACTACAACTATAAGTATTCTAACAAACCTTATACGCCTAAAAGTATTTCGCCGGCTTTGATCCTTTCCAGTTGCTAGAGTATAAAATGTTGGGTTATTTAGTCCTTTCTTACTTGTTTCTTATTAGTATTAGAAATAAAAGATTTGTCTAGTAAAAATTTATTTGATTTAATTTTTATTCTTGTTCTTATGGTAAAGTTATAAATTAATTATTTAATTGATTTATACAAATAAACGGATTATTTTAGTGTAATATGTTGATATATTTCTGTACATATGTAAATATAGCTGCTGCATAAGAACTTTCCATGAACTAAAATTAAAATATGTACCCTAATTGACCCAACTCAGAATGAATCCTTTCATTATCAATCAATTTGTCCAACCATAGTTGATAAGGATAATCATTGTGCACACCACCATACCTTTAAATATTAAAAACAAAATAGATACATAAGCATGTAGTATATAAAAAAGCTATATTAATAGAATTATATATATATACATACGTATGTACATATGTATGTAGGCTGGCATCTATAACTTATACAACTTATATAAAACTGAAAAGTGTACATAGACAAACCAACAGCGCCGGCCGCTATAGCTTTTAAAACTAGTATTTCTACTGGATCTAAACTTTTCATTTTGTATTTTACAATAAAGGGAACTAAGTATAAGTTGTTCTAAACTACATTAAAACATTCAGGATCCTTCTCCATTCTTTATTTTGTACATTATCTTTACCAAATTTTGAAATAGGAGTATCAAAAGCCGATAAGGATTGTTACCTTTTAGGCAAGTGATCTGGGCTTATGTGCTTATGAAGTGACTTCATATCCGACCCATGTATGAACAAACGCTCTTTCATTGCAGAATTTAAGAATGGTTTAAACATGTTGTAAGCTGCATTGAATACCCAATTTTGATTCACAATATGCAAAGCTGTAGTACGCACAGGCATTGAGGTCTGGAAAAAATTATATATTTTATTTATATACAAGTATGTATATAGTATACCATTTTAAAAGGTTTCTGCTTATTTCAGTTTTTCTTACCACCAACAAGGCAATCATTTTTTGTGCCACGCTTGGACTTAAATGAAGTATATGATTGAAACTCAGATCCTTTAAGTCAAATATGCCCACGCCGCCTATAACCTGGGCTATCGGTTCTAGAGACCCCAATTCCAGTAGAATTATAGTGGCACGAAAGATATGATCCACACTGATTTTTCCCGGTTTCCATACACCAAAACGATAGATTAAAATACGATGTCCAGTTTGATCTCTATAAGGTGTTACTGATATAATATCCTCATCACCTAAGCTTTTCAATTCCAAAGGTCGAACATTTTCAAAGTACGATTTATTCTGTTCCCGAAATTTGAAATAATTGACCATCTAAATATATACATGTGTGTACATGTAAAAAAATTAAGAAAAGCGAAAAGTAATTACAAATAGAATATATTTAAGTATACTGATGTTTTAAGAAACATTGAAAAGAAAAAACATTTAAAACCTTAATCGGATTAACGAGCCTAATGTAAATTTTGTGTTCTATGTTGGGTATAAGGGTATAAAAATATCTTTATCTTGATTTTGATCGATCAGTTAGGATCACAGCTATATGCTATAGTGGTTCGATATGAACAATTTGTTCGGAGATTGTACCGCTGTCTTGGACAATAATTCATGTCAAATTTCGTGAAGGATATCGTCAAGTAAACACGTTCTCCATACATGAACTTTATTTTGATCATATTTATAAAAATAATACTGTCTCCGACGTTTCCTTCTGGGTGTTACACACTTCGGGGCAAACTTATAATTAAACAGGGTATATGTTTATGATATAAATATAACTTCAAGTAAAATGAAACGTAAACTAGTAAAAGAGGGCTATCTTCGGATGTAACCAAACATTATACTCTTGCAATATGCAAAGATAAGAGGCGGGGAAATACTTTATATTATATAATGTGATATAAATTCAAACAAAGAGGATAAACCATATAATTTTTATGAAAAATTGAACACTTATTGTAATTTCACTAAAATATCAGACGTATTGCCCACCTTAAAAGGTTTAAACTCAGGTGGAAAGTCGGAAGTCATTATAAAGGGGCTAAAGATGTCTGGACTGATTGCATTAACTCTTGGTATTGCTCATGTATATTCGAAAATATGTTCCACGCAACTTTGTTAAGATAACTCACCTACTGACCGACATGACCGGAGTTGTAGTATGTTGGCTGTCGTGTTCGTAGACCAATTTCACTTGTTTTCGGTATTAAACTATAGTTTATCTAATAGTACACGTTCACTCAATTTTGATAAGATATCTTTCATATTGAGCAATATATACGTTATAAAGTCAATCAGACGTTTGAAATATTTATATTAGGTGTATGGGGGCTAGGGGAAGTATTCACCCGGGTTTTACCTTATAGGATACACTGCCATTAAAAAGAGATTCTTTCTTCATTTCATTAAGGTAGCTCTCATATTTACCGATATATGCAGTAAAAAGTCAACCAGAAGTTTGAAATCTTTATATTAGGTATATGGAGGGCTAGGGAAAGTATTATTTCCCTGTTGCTGTTGTCATAAAGAGCTTATCTTTGAATTTCAATAATACTTCTCATATATTAGAGCCTGCAATCTAAATTGCCAACGAAAAGTTGAAAAGCCTGACTTTGTCCTCATTTAGGAGCCTTGGGTTAGTGGAGGTCATATTTCCGGAATGAGTACACCGAATTCCAAATTATACATGGTTAATGGCAAAGTAAGGAAGACAAGTCCAAACTGGACTAGTAAAAGTACCACAATCGGCATCCGACTACCAAATCCCTGCAGTGTCTTTCAAGCGGAGATCACAGCAATTAAAGAAACCCTTCTAGTATTATTCATTTGCAAATCTCCAACTTATTTTGATACTCTCGCAACATGTTGCTACAGAGTAAAATATTTTTGTTCACCTAACGATTGTTTGTGTCACCTAAAACTAATCGAGTTAGATATAGGGATATATATGTATATATAAATGATCAGGATGAAGAGACGAGCTGAAATCCGCGTGACTGTCTGCCCGTCCGTCCGTCCGTTCGTCTGTGCAAGCTGTAACTTGATCAAAAATTGAGATATCTTTATGAAACTTGATACACATGTTTCTTGGTACGGTAAGACGGTAAGTATTGCAGATGGGCGTAATCGAACCACTGCCACTCCCCCAAACGTCAGTAATCTAAAACTAATAAATTGCCACAACTAAGCTCAAAAATAAGATTCAATACTGTTAATTGGTATACAGATTCACATTAGGTAGGGTCATCTGCAGTTAAACCCCCTAATAGCTCATATCTCCTGAACCGCTAAAGCTATAATAACAAAATTCAGTAAGAATAAATTTTTTTAGCCCCTCTATCGACGGTGTGAAAATGGGTGTAATCGGGTTACAACCCCGCCCACTCCCCATATAACGGTACTGTTGAAAACTACTAAAAGCTAAATCAAGCACTAAACACGCCAGAATCATTAAATTGTACCTCTGGGATGGTATGAGATGACTTTATAGGAACCGCGTTCAAAATTAGACAGTGGGCGTGGCACTGCCGATGTTTAGGGGAAAACCCATATCTTGGGATCTGCCGATTTCAATCAAACTTGGTACATAACATTCTTCTCATATTTCTATATTATAGTGCGAAAATGCCACGCCAATTTCCCATATAACACCATTTTAAATTCCATCTGATTCTTTCGCTTTCCACTATGCAAATTAAGCAACAATAATTGGATCAAGGTACAAATTTGGGTGAATAATAACGTTTAAAGTATGCCATCATGCGACCTAAAATTCTCTAAATCGAACCAAAACTGTTCAAGCCCCTAGGCACTGAATATGTGGACCCCAGCGCCTATAGTTGACCTTTTACCGAAAATATCGGTCAATGTGTAAGATATATAATTGAAATGCATATAAAAAATAAATAAATGAAATTATCGATAATACTTGTAGTATGTTTTTGTGTCCAAAATGGGTTGAATCGGATCAATACTTCCTTTAATATAAAATTTTGCCAACACCTGAAGTAATCTCGCGGGCTTTGATCCTGTTAAGTTGTGAGAGTATAAAATGTTCGGTTACACCCGAATTTAGAACTTGTTTTTTTTTTATATATTTTAAGGAGCAATTTACGTATAAAAAAGCGTTAAGTGTTAGTATATGTTTCTAGACAAACAGGTATATACATATATAATATAAGTTCCTATTCAAAAAGTTTAATATCATAATTTTGCTTACAAATACAAATTTGTGTCTTAAATGTAAAAGTTTCTTAATGTAACTTATAAAAATAAGGATATATGCTATCGAACAAATATTTAAAACTATTAAAGGATAATTAACTTAAAATTTAAGTTGCGGCTCTGACAAGATCCAGATCAGTTCCATAATCGAGGAACGTGTCTTTTTTCATTGCAATCGCATATGGCCTGTTTTAAAAACTACAATTTAGAAATCGTTTTTGGACATTTGATACTTCTCCTTAAAATAAATTATTTCGTTTCAGTTTTTCAACTAATATATTTATGTATTTACATAGATTGTAGTCTTTGGTGATCGTGATGTGAATTACAGACAATTCGGATGAAAATGATGTGCATTAAGCAAATACTAACTATTTTTTCTTGTATTTTCTTGTATTTATTAACTAATTTTGTATTGTTACCATTAGGCAAGAAAATCATATTAGAAATGGTGCGAAATTGGCTGTGGCTACCAAGTTTTTACAGCAATAACAATAATTTGTTTATTTTTTTTTTACAACGCTTTGAATTAACTTGGATATTATCTTATCCAAATTTATTGTTGGTTTATATCTGATACGAGAATAACATAGCTTTTTAGATAAATATCTTCAAAGTTTTACAATTTGAAAAAAAATCCAAATCAGTATTCTTTAAAAATTACAAATAAAAGCTATTCTGAAATTGAACGTCATCCAAAAAGCTAAAATTGGAAGCTAAGTGAAAAATAAGAATATAATAAATATTGATCAATGTTTACTTCTTAGAAGTGAGCGGAGTTTAAGTTGTCAATAAAATTAACTTAAAGAATAATGGAAAAGTAAGTTACAGTTTCCATTATTGTAAAAAACTTTATTTTTGTCAAAAACTCGTAGCGTTTAATTAATGTTTTGAATTTTTTGGTCTAAGTTCTTTTCTAAAGTGAAACTTTTTAACCATTTGTCATTTAGACAATTTTTTACATCAAAAATCTGTTTTTCGTTATTTTTTGGAATGAAGAAAAACCTGTACTTCACTTATATGTCGCAGGGACCATTGGAATATATTATTAATATTATTTACCAATTGATAACTGCTCTCAATATGCCAAAATCGTGCACGTAGAAATTTCTGCAAGTAGTCATCATCCGTTCGGTGAGGTTTGCAGCCATCATGTTCTTAAAACGATTGAGAAAATCAGTATAAAGTTTTAAACGTTTAAAATACATACCCAATATAAATTTACGGAAATCATCTATAACCTGGAGTTTCGTATTTTCACATTCGCCCAGTTCTGCAGCGATATTTTTAAATTCCTCTGGTAATTCGGGGTCGAGGTCTAAATCGTGCTTTATTTCAACGTACGGCATTTTTTATGAATTCTGAAAGACATTATTTCTTTAAATATTTTTTATTTAAGCTCTAGCATTAATCACAAAACGCGATGTGTTTAATACGATTGCAGAGAAATGAGATGAATAAAAAATCGATGCGCATACCTATTTAGATTTGTCTTTTCAATTTCAATTATATGATAAAATTTATAATTATGAAAAGCCTTGTGAATTAAAAAGGAGAATTACTGGCAAAAACTCCAGATTTATAATAAAATAAACACTTAACATTCAAATTTTCCAAATTTTGCATGCGCGTTGCGTAAGCGCTATGCTTATTGAACAGAGGATAATACCTATAATAATAAAACTATGGCTAAAGCGGCCACGTTTCCACTTTTGTGGTAGCTTAGGTCCTAAGGGTGAAGGAGCCTAAACTAAAACTCATTAAACTTAATTTTTTTATTAAAATATTTCAAGGAATATGCGAGCTTATATGTATGTATATATGTATGTTTGTCGACAAAGTCGTCATTTCGTTTTTTCATTAAAACAATATCCGCGCGAACTCGCCTTTACTTCCATAGCATGCTACGAGGGCTGCTATATATCTTTCTGGCCTAATAATGAAAATACGAATATTTATCAACGAAAATGGTTTTTTTTTTTTTGTCGGTCGATTGCTGATTTGTTTCGGGCTCATACGCATAGATCCATGATTCGTCACCTGTGACGATCTTATAAACGTCTTTCGAAGCACCGCGATCGTATTTTTTCAGCATTTCTTTACACAAATTCACACGAGCGATTGTCAAATTGTGCGGGATCCAACGAGAACAAACATTTTTTACGGCCAGGTGTTCATGCAATATCGAATGTATGCTGGTGGGAGAAATGCATAGGCATGCCTCTATCTGAAGGTATGTTACATGACGGTCTTGCATTATCAGTTCACGTACTGCATCGATGTTTTCTGGCACAACGGATGTTTTTGGACGACCTTCACGGAATTCGTCTTTGAGCGAGCATCGGCCACGATTGAATTCATTGTACCAGTTTTTCACAGTGCTATAGGATGGTGCTTCATAGCCATCCAAAGATTTTAGTTCATCGATGCACTCTTGTCGTGATAATCCACGTCGAAAGTTGTGAAAAATGATCGCACTAAAATGTTCACGAGTTAATTCCATTTTTTGGCCGAGATGAATTTTTTAATTCCCTGTAAATAAAACAATTCACGATTAAATGACAAAACGTGCTGAGTGATGTTATGCTAAAAAATGTCAAACTTTCCAATGGAAATGTCAGATTGCACCTGGCAACACTTAGTGTTGCCTAGGCCAGCCAGCTATATAGCAGCCCTCGTACCATGCACAGAGGCGTTTCAACTTAGGATTCCTATTCTATTATTATGTTGCATAAATTGTATTGAAATATAATGATGCATTAATGACTTACTTTCGTATTTAAATGTTTTTAAAATTAATTCGTTTAATAAAAAAAAATATCTGAAACAAGTAAGGAAGGGCTAAGTTCGGATGTAACCGAACATTTTATACTCTCGCAAAGTTAAATGATATATTCGTTTGAGACTTCTTTATATATTTTAATAATTAGAAGTAGAAACTGTTGCCTTAGTTATTTACTTTTCACTCACAGTGAAAATAATTAGAGCAATTTGTAAACTAAATTTACTAAAATTATGAGAAATCGTTCTTGTGCTTTTTGTATACGCTCATAATTGATTTTATATAGAATGCATTACAACTGTATTGAGAAGTATGAAAAGAAATCGTTTTTGAACAATGAATAACATTTTTTATTTATTATATCGATATTATTATACATGTTTAGCTTAAAAATAATAAATATTAACAACTTTAAAAATTATATAATATTATTATATTAATTTGTATATAATATTTACAATATTAAACATAAATTTTTGTATAGATTCTTATACATATATCCAAATTATATTTCTTTTTTCCTTATACTATTTAATTTCTATCATATATTTATACAATAATGTCATATATAATAACAAATTATATATATAATTTAAATTTTCTTAATTAGATTATTTACATATTTTTCTTAAAATTGTCTTAAAAACTACTGTCAAAATTCCTATACCATTCCAATTCGATTATATTATATTTGGAAAAAAAAAATGAAGAACTATTGCACTAAGTCTGAAATCTTTAGTTCGAAATAGAGACACATATACTGTCATGATAGCTGTGTACTGTTTCAAAAGTAATTGCATTTACACGGGAAGGATCCATGTTTGAAAATGCCCAATCAATTTGTATACCGGCAGGTGTAGTTGAATATTCGAAGTATTGTAGTTGAAGTTTTTTTCTTAGAGCAGATTTCTTATTGCAGTCCCTGTAGACATTAAACAAATGTTAAAATCTCCAACAATTAGCACATTTTGATTGCCTAACTCAGAGGTACGGACTTCCTGAAGTTCTACAAATAATTGTCTGACAGAGAAAGCTGAATTACTATATAGAACCAGAATATTAATATTGAAACATTTAAACAAAACCGCTTCTAAAACTTTGCGGCCTGAATAAATTTTCTTTACAGCCTTTGATTCTATAGAGCAAGCAATACTATGTTTTGCATATATTATATTACAATGTCCCGTTTATTTCTGTTGGTTGTTTCCGTGCTATCTATCCTCAGCTCGTTAATTGGAGTAAATCCTGGTATATCAAAACTTTCGCAAGGATAACTCCAAGTTTCTACAAAACAAAAAATATCTGAAGATAGCATCAAACAGTCGCTTTTTATATCATTAATGTGAAGACTCTGAACATTATGGAATAAAATTTGATGTCCTGATGTTCGGGAAATCATAAAATTGAAACTTGTTGTCAAAGCTTTATTTGTGTTCAATTCCCTCAGTTCCCTAAATACGGGATCCGATTCAGAAAATTTGTTAGGAGGAATAANTGTCTAATTATCTCTGTTAATTCAAAGTATTTAAATAACTCCCACAATAGAGAACCAACTAAAGTGCTGTATGCATCATTGGGATTAGGAGAGAATATCCACCTATCTCCAACAGGTGAGAGTTGCTTCAAATCACCAAACACTATGATCGGTATACCACCGAAGGGGCTGTCTATTTTGAAAATTTGTTTTGTTAATCTCGCATGAACAGAGCTAAACATACGAGCACCTACCATCGATATTTCATCAATTATAATTAATTTTAAATCGATAAGTCTGGAATACAATGAATTCACTGTGTCATTGCTAAGTGGCCTAAACTGTCTATTCAACTGATTAAGAGGTAAAGAGAATATTGAAAGAAGGGTCATTCCACCTATTCCGAATGCTGCTTTACCCGTAGGTACACAAAGAAAAACTTTTAAGGAACTTGGATTGGATCCAGGTGTAAAATTGTAACGATGGTTAAGAGCTTGATATATTGCAGATATCAAACGACTCTTTCCTACACCTGCACCGCCCCCTATGAACTCATAAAATGGGAGATTTGTTTATAGGTGGTGCATCAAATGTGTCAAATAGGTTCTTTGCTTAGTATTTAGACTTTGAACTAAAGAAAATAATTCCTCAACTGGAATTAAAGGGGGTAGTTTAATAAGTCTAATATTGCAATCAGATTCAGTGACATTATCTGTTGAATCTTCGCCATGCAAGTCCAGCAAATTTATATTTGGGTTTATTTCTGGAAGTGCCAACACTCTGAACTCATTTTCCACGATAGGTAGTTCATTTTGAGCACCTTCACCGTCAAGTCTATTTCATTATAAAGACTTTCTAGAACATTTTCAAATTCTCTATGTCAAAACATCATATTTTCTTTGTTTTCCTCAATTGCGCAATACGATGTGACATGCAAGTCTGCTCATTGTAGTTTCAATGAGATCACTTACCTTCATTTCGCCAGGATAGTAACGCATTAACATTTCGCGGAAATACTCCGCTCGACCAAATCTAGGTTAAACCTTCTATGCCGAATAATACAAGGTTTGGTACGTTTTCACAAAACCACACGTCTTTAAGAGGCTGGAAGACCCGCTTTCTGGTAAATTATCTCTTCTCCTTCTTTTCTTATGATCACTATTCTAGTCTACTTTACTAGATTTCAAGATATTTATACCTAAGGCAAATCAGCTAACAAAGAGTTCCTAATGATCGGATCTTTTGAACATAAACGGTCTAAAATACCGGCTACATATTTCAGTCATTACAGAAGAATTCTGAGAGTCCTCTCTAGTTACAGAACGTTTCAGCAGAGTTTATATCGCTCCTTGAAGTAGGCCAATCACACGAATTATCTCGTGCGGGAATGTTTTGTGCCTGAATAAATTTGTGACCTATATGTTTAAGTTTTGTTAAAGTATAATTTCCAGCATTACCTTGATAAGCTTCATTTAAGAGCTAAAATTCCCTGAGACTGTAATTACCAATTAGTTAGTAAACAGAAGCATAGACCATCAGTATAATGCTATCCATATTTGTCTATGAGTTTCAAAATCAGAGAGATTATAAGCTTCTTTTTCTAAACATCCTTAATTTTCTTTATATAGAAATATTCAGGTTTTGTTAACTGACCTAAGGCTAACAAATAGTCATCAAAGACATTTGCACTTTACTATCAGAACAGGAAAGTGTCAAAATCTTTTAAATTAGAAATACTCATTCTTAGTCTATTTGATTTAAACTTTATTTGAAAAAATTATTCCTTTTGTCTATACTGAATTTAGGCTTGTTTCGTAAGAGGTAACATATTGCGTTAAGGCATTGTGGATATGTTGTCAAAAACGGCAAACTAGATTGCTCTTATTTCAAAGTACGATACCAGAAATCAAATGGATTGTCTTAGTGTAACCCAAATAACTTTGGTGTGGAAACTGATCGAAGACCATCAAAGGTAAAAATATAATATGTCAATAAACTAATGATATCAGGGAATGTCTGAGACTTAGTATCAAGGGAAGCATTATTGAACCAATAGCAGAACCGCATTGTACTGAAGACTCCACTCTCCAGTAGAAATATTGTAA